TCCTTAACATTTTTATAACACTTTTTAGTTTTTCAGTAAAAATCTCTGTCACCCGTATATGAGTGGCGACCAACGCGTTAAATAATTATTACGTTTACGCGTAGGTGTTGTTTATTCTCCATCGACATAAGCGCATCCAAAATCTAGTCGACGTTACGGAAAGCGAAATGTTTAGCCGCGATAACGCGAAATACAGGTGCATAGTGACGCGTTATACTTGGCAAGGTATCTTTCACCACATCGCCTATCAGAGCTTCGGTGGTATGGCTGTATTCACTTGGGGCTTCACGCCGATCGCTGATTTACTCACTGGAAGATCCAAACAATTGCCAATGGAAGGATGGTATCCTTATAACGTAACGAACACGCCAGCCTTCGAGATCACTTCGTTAGATCAAGCTATAACGATCATTATCTGTTGCTTCAATAACGTAGCGATAGATACTATGATAACGGGTTTGATCACAATTGCTTGTTGCCAGCTAACGATTTTAAATCAGAACATTGCTTCGATAAACAACGAAACAAAGAGACAATCTATTTCGAAAGATATCGTTGATGGAAAGAAATGTACAGAAGATTCTTGCCATGGAGCGTATAAAGATTTGAAACGCTGCGTTGAGCACAGTAATATGATATTTGAGTAAGTTCATAAGGAAGAATGAAGACTTTTCAGGACGCAATTTTAATTAAGTCTGTAGTCTCTAATACTTTCAGTTTCTCCAAAGAGATCCAAAGTATATTCGGTACTGCGATATTCCTTCAATTTCTAGTAAATTGTATTATTATCTGTTTGATAGCATTCAATATAGCACAGGTACATCGTACGTATTAATTATTGTTTCTCTCCGATCTATGAAATTGTGCATTTGTCGCGTTCACAGATGAAAGTTTATATTCCGTCCATTCTCTTTGGCATGGTGATGTATATGTGCTGCATGACGTACCAAATATTTATATTCTGTTGGCACGGCAACGAATTATATCTTCATGTACGTTATCGTCCCATGATATTCGATAATCAAAAGCAAGACAATTCTGCTGAAAAATCACATTTACAGAGCGTCAATTTAATTTTCGCCAGCTATTCGAACGAGTGGTGGCATAAAACTAAAAACTTCAAACAGGGGATACAAATTATAATGATAAGAGCTCAACGTCCTCTTATCTTAAGCGCTGGAAATATTATGGAGTTATCTTTACAGACATTTGTTCGAGTAAGTGCATGCATTTACGACGCTACGAATATTTTGTTCATTCATAACCTTATCTTCTAGATTTTGCGTATGTCGTATTCCATTTTTACAGTCTTGCAAACTTCGGCGGACGCTTGAGTCTCTTATGAAACATAAAAAGTTTCGTGTAGAAAAATATTTAAAATATGTATATTTACGAGAACGTTGATAAACATATTACATTATTATTAATATTGTAAATAGTATAATATAAAATTTGTATTTGCATAAAAATTGAGAAATATATTTTTTCAATTTCTTTCTCAGTGTATATATATATATCAAAAATATAAGCGCGAACAAACGCGATACAGTACACGTCTTTCGATATTCGTTGATTTTAATTGCACAATTTCAATTTTTTATCGTAATTCACGATCATGATTTATTAAAGAGCTTCTACCATCACAGCTATTCCTTGTCCGCCACCAATGCAGGCGGAGCCAATTCCTAATTTTCCACTTTTTCGTCTTCTGTAAGAGTAATAAAGCATTCTAATTAATATCATCATTAACACATAAAGTATTAAAATAATTTTATTGAGTATTAACGTACCTAAGCTCGTGCACTAAGTGTCCAGTAATCCTACTACCAGATGCAGCCAATGGATGTCCAAGAGCAATAGCACCACCATCTACGTTTAATTTATTCATATCTAAATTTAGATCCTTAGCACACGATAATGCTTGAGCTCCAAAAGCTTCGTTAATCTAGATAAATAAAATATACAAATTTACTAATTTGTCGACTAGCATAAAAGAGTAGATAAAGAGAATATATTTGTAAACTTTTACTTCAATAAGTTCGATATCGTCCAGCGTTTTATTCGTGGTTTTAAGAAGTTGTTTGATAGCGGGTGAAGGACCAATTCCCATAATTGAAGGATCTACACCTACAATTGAGTAACCTAGTAGACGAGCCAGCGGTGTTAGTCCTTCTGCTTTAACGGCTTCCTCGCTAGCTAAAACAACAGTTGCCGCGCCATCGCAAATGCCCTACAAAATAGAATAGTAGTATTTAGAAAACGTAAAGTACAATGATAACATACTACAGTTACTTTTGAAGAAGTATGACTCAACACACCGACGCGGAACCAGCTGTGACTAAACCGTCCTTCTTAAAAACAGGGGGTAACTTAGCTAAGCTCTGAGGAGTTGTTTGAGGACGTGGATGTTCGTCTGTGTCCATGACAACATCTTGTTTCTTCACCTTCAATGTTACAGGTGTTAGTTCCTCTTTGAAACGACCGGCATCATGGGCTGAAAATATTAGAACTCTTCTTAATCACTAGTAAAAATTAATTCTCATATCCTACTTTAAAGAATATAGAAATAATAATAATAATGCAAATAGTGGCAGATAATTACCAGCTTTCCAAAGCTGTTGGCTTCTTAAAGCAAATTGGTCTACTTCTTCCCTTTTTAAACCATATTGAGCTCCAAGCTTCTCTGCTGTCATACCCATAGGTAATTCGCAGTAAGTATCATATAATCCAGTCCATAAACTATCCTCGAGATCATAATTTTGTCCTAAAACTGTACCAAAACGAACGTTTCTTATAATAAAAGGACCTTGACTCATATTTTCCGCGCCTCCTGTTAGAACTATTTTGGCTTCTCCAGTTAAAATACTCTGAAAGATATAAAACTCGTCTTTTACAACAATTATTATGTGTAAAATTGTATTTAATAATCTTTTTATCGGCACAGCATTGTAACAATTCATACATGTGCACCACTGATTATTGATTGAAATCCAGAACCGCATAGTCTGTTAACTGAAAAAGCTGGCTTTTCGATAGGTATTCCAGACTTCAATGCAACATGACGTGCCAGTAAAGCTCCATCTTTGGATGTTACCTTCAAAAGAAATGATCATAAATATTGATTAGACAGAGAACATTTGAAATGTATGAAAAAAATCAATTTGTAAATATGTTAATTATATACATACAGGTGATACATGACCGAAGATAACACTATCTACTTTCTCAGGTTTCAATCCTGCGGATTGCAGGGCGGCTGTTGCTGCAACCACTGATAAATCGGTTGCACTTTTGTTGACAAACGAGCCACCCATTGTACCAAATGGAGTACGTTTTGCAGCAACAATAAAAATACCTGCAATTAATAAGGTACACTTACATAATTCTTTTATAGATTATATTAGTACATTGGTCTCGGATATTAATATATTTTAATATAGAATTTATTATTTATGTGACTTTCACGTTCTACATATTAAATGAAAACCACTGGCATGACTAATGGTCCAATGGTCAAGAAACAGATTAATAAAATTGTACTGTTTGTAAACATCGCTGAAGATAAAAAGGACCTTTGAAACAAAATGTTCGTTTTATGTAATTACCAGCACATCGGTTGTTTTCACTTTTTACTAATTCAAAATACCATTCATTGTTAATAAATTTCTACTACATTGTATCGTGAAAGTTTATGACATATATACATGTTAATTTGTGTTCATGCAATCTACAATGAAATTTGCACAGTGTATCGAAATATTTTGGAATGCAATTGTTTCAGGAATATCTTATTATTGTTTTGATAATTTTCTATTCTACCCCATTTGTTTGAAAGATTCAAAAGTTTAATAGTAATTAAAAAATTTATTTCACAAGTAAACCGTCGATGTTATCAAGAGAAAGTAAACTGAAAATATAACAAGAAATTATTGTTTCTCTGTAGTACATACCTTTCGTTGCAATAGACATCGCGATAGAAATATTGTTTGTTACAATAATAAAATTAAATATAATAAGTAAACTCGAAATATTAGGCTCTAAAGAAGGACTCAGTCAATGTGCAACATTTAAACTTATTAAGACTTAACAAGTGGACAGTTCTTTTAAACTGAACGCTGTATCATGCAGTACAGAGTACAGTATGTATCATATCATGAAGAAGGAGTGGGGTTAGACTTTCAATGACGTTGTTTTAATTTGATTAGGCTCTCATACCTTCTTTAGAACGGACTTTATCATAATTGTATATCACACGACACGCATATCTCCTTTATTCTTATGTATAGTTCCATAAATATCGATTTATATTTCATAATAGATGTTACATTTCGAAAGAAGAAAAAAAAAGAAGGGAATAAGAAAATGTTTTCCGAAAAATGTTTTATTTTACTTCTCCTCGTTAAAACATTATTCGCTATTTCGTGTAACATGTTTAATACTTTTCTTACCTTATGAATATTTAACATTAAACAATTAAAAAAGCATAAAATTATTCTTCTACGAATATTTATCAACTATTCAATCATGTATTCACGATAGTGTACGTTTATGTAATGAACTGTGCATTTGAATTTTTCCACGTTATCCTTGTATTACTACTTTCATCACAGGTAGATAGCTCAATTTTGATGTATTGGTTGAGCATAGCAAATACTTGCATCAACTTTCCTTACACCTTATCGTACGATACTTAACAAATAATACATAATGTTACAAAACTTACTCGAATGACATATGACATACATAAAATATTCATAAATAATCTAAAAATAAAAAACGTGAAAGAGAAAGATAATAGTCTCCTTCGAAACTGTCTTTTATGAATCAAAATGAATTCTGAACATTTGGCACACCCTGTTTCATTAATTAAATATTTTGATCTATTATCAATTATCATGTATATATTCTTTACGATTAAAACACGAGTAAAAACGGATAGAATCGGAAATAATTCAGTTTCCATTAATTGAATTTAGATACATTTGATACATTTAGATTAATTGAAAGAGATACAATATCCTTTATTACAACAAATCTTACAAGAAAACTTTATCCATCCAAGTCGGGATCACTTACATCTGGAAACACTTACATCTTGAAAAAGATCATACATTTCTTGAGCAGCCTGAACCGATGAAAAGATTGCTTTCAAAGTGCGTTTCGTTGGTGTTTTTAAGGCACGATCGATTGCCGTCCAAACACATTCTTGCTTATTTACCTTGAAGAAATAGAAAAAAGCTTTAAACGTTGCAACCATTACAGAATTTGATAGTAGGATAAAAGATATATAATCGATATATTTTCACCTGCATTTTAATGTCCGTACAGATAACTGTATTGCTTACGATTTCATTTGTCTCATCCGCTTTTAATATTATACTTCCGGCAAATGTATCGGAATCATGATAAATAATTAAATTTCCTAAAGCTACAAGCTCCCATTTGGCATCTGCATCTGTTCTCGCAAACAAAGTAGCCCTTTTTTCAAAAATACGCAAGCTATGGATATAGTCTTCATCTTCTTCGTCTTCAATTTCGTCAGCGTCTTCGTTTTCCTCTTCTTCATTTTCTTCCTCTTCGGGTTCTTCTACTATCGGGTTACTTTCAGTAACTTTTTCACCTGTATCCACACAAGTAACATAAATATAGTATATAATGTATATGCTTGGAAGCATGCGAATATAATACAAGTGCTGGTCAAGCAACAATTGGAATGTAAGCTTACTTGTTATTTGTGTTATGTTTGTAAAATTACCTTATAAAATATACACAGACATGTTTTGACGTTTATCGTGTGCGTTTAGCATTATGCGACTCTTTATGTTTATTAATAAGAAAAAAAAATTTCCATGACGTTTTTGTATTATTAAATTTTATTCGAACGTTTCGCAATTCAAAAATTTATTCATACAACTTACTTGATAAAATCGAGATATGCGAAAAAAAAATGTTCTATGAATTGTCGACAAAAAAATTCATGCTTATCAGTAAAAACTAGTACAACAATATACCGGCTTCGTAATGAATTGTTATTCATGGCAAGGCATAACCCGTAACCAATTATATAACCCGTTCATCATGGACATGGTATTAAAAGGACTCATACCACTTTCATAATAAACGGCTCATATCAACACATGTTATTATTTCTTATAGATTACAAGAATTTTATAAAATTAAAAATGATTCAATTAAAGAATTTCACAGATTTCTATGGGTGAGAATGAATATCACGATTATTTATCACAATTATGCTGAAAAATCAAATATATAGATCAAAAGTATTTTTTAAAATGTAACACTTCACTTAAAAAAAAAACATAACGAAACGTTTCCGTTAAAGTTCGTTTTCATAAAATTCATTTTCGTAGCCTATTTCATCACAAATTTTAATGCTCTTAAAACAATAGTACGTTCTATAAATAAAAATAAATCTATAATTATCTATATCATTGTTTGATGATATAAAATATACATATATGTATATATATGTGTGTATATTCTATGTATGTATGTAACGCATGATGGATATATGTACATGTATTATGCAACCAAAAGCAGTATTCATAAATTAAGAAAAGCATTATAAATAATTAGGTTTGTATCTTATTCCTTACGAATTTCTCTTAATTTATGTTGGATTTCGTTAACCGTATCCTTAAACTTTTCGGCCAGTTCCGTGTTCTTAAATCTAACTGCTAGTTCTTCTACACATGGTTGTTCTTCCGCATAATTCATGCCTGCCCATATCCAGGCACGATCCGAAGTGATAAGTCTGGAGAATTTTATATCCGGAGTAAGCAACAGATTGCATACTACTTTATGAACTTGATCTCTACGCAAAAGTAATCTATAAGTTCCCTGTTTTGTGTGGTGCAAAATTTTCATTTCCCCGACACCTCTCTCTTTCCACTCGCGCGTTTCGGCATTGAATCGGTATAATTTGGCTCTCTCGCAAAACACTGTAACACAAGCATAATCAAAGTCATTTTTATTAAATCATCAGCGTCCTCTACTTTAAAATAATTACTCGAACTCGTACCTTTCTCTTCATCCTCTTCTCCAGTGCGTACCTCGATGACGTCGGGCAACGGTACGATGGGCTCAAAATAAGGATCATGCTCTTGTTCAGTTTCATTTTCGGCGTTCTCTTCTTCTTCGTGTTCACCTTTCTTATCTTGCGTGCCTTCTTTCGTTTTTTGAGCAGACTTGGCAGCAACCGCGGATGATTTAGAACCAAATACTGTCGATCCAGCGCCAGAAAAAGAGAAGTTCGGGTCTGCAAAATAAACACGTACGAGAACAATTTATATAATGCAAATGTATATAAATACATAGATTAAAAGAAAGAAGTTGATTCATTAAGGTACCGTTCTTAAGATACACACCTGATTTGAATGCTTGCTGAGGAGCTGCTGCCGCTAGGGCTGAGAATGACACATCCGCCGACGGGAAGAAACTAATACCACTGTCTTTTTGAGATTCATTTTCTGACGACGCGGTTTTCGTTTCGGCAGTGTTCGTCGCCGTGGAATTTGAAATTCCAAAGGGTGATTCGTTTGTACGCCCGTCAAAGGCTAAATTAAATGTAAACGGTGTGGACGTGTTATCGAATACTGAATTAGTAGATTTACCAGACCCCCCGAACAGAGACGTCGTCGTGGTGTTGGTTGCAAACGTAGAGGAATCGCTGCTAGTGGTCTCAGAACTCGTTTTCATTGCGGAGGACCCGAAAATCGGAGCACTCGTGCCAAATATAGTCGTAGCACTCGTAGTCGTTTTTAGCTGAGAGTTAAAGTTATTTAAGAACGGAGATTCGGAACTATTTGCACTAACATTGAAGGAACTGGGTTTGATTATCCCAGGAGTGTCTTTTTTCGACGATCCACCGAAAATACTTTTTCCTGTACTTAAGCTGAATGGATTATCCGCCATCGCGAATATGGATCCTGCAGATGTCGTGGATGACGCTGACGCCTTGAAAGGTGACGACGTGGTAGACATCGCTTGTCCTTGAGAAACGATAGGGCTGCAGATTTTTAAATTCTCCGTGGCTACGATGTTTTGCTCGGTAGGTTGACTTTGAGGCATTACAAACGAAAAGCTAGCCTTCTTGTCGCTGGATGTTTTAGAATCGCTGTTTCCAAATGATATGATAGGAGTAGCCATGGAAAAAGAATTCATTGTACTTTGAGCTATGGTTGTACCGTGCAGTCCTGGCTTTGAAGTAGACGAAGTAGTATTCTGCGTGCTTGTGTCGGTAGCTGAAACATTGCTAGCAGTGGCGTTTGTACTTTCAGTTTTTGACGAAAATGTAGTAGGTTTGCAACTCTCTGTACAGATTTTCGGTACCGATGCTGTCGTTACAGAGTTTTCATCTTTGAATAACGGCGTAGTTGGTTCTTTGCAACCCCTACATCCAGGACAATCCGGCTTCTGTTTGTACGCGTAAAAGTTTTCTGGAAGCTGTAATTTCATAGCGGCGTCCTTTTCCTCTGTCGTTACTTTCATCTCGTATAGAACTTCTATGTCTTTGGCTGGCTTAGCTTTAGCGAGTTCTTCTGTTTTCGCCTCCGTCTTCGTCTCTCCAGCCGGAACACTCTTCGTCGATCTTGCTTCGTCGATCGCGTTCTTGAAGTTTCTCGCAATATCGGAATTCTTGAACCGACACGCGAAAAGCGTATGCTCGATTTCTCCTTCGCTGTAGTCAGCGGCGTTCCACATCCAAGTCTTCTCGTCTTTTAGCGTCATATCTAGACCGGGGAGGATAAAATGATTCAAACAGAGCTTCAAGATTTGTTCCCGCCTCATTATCAGCCTCAGTTTGCCTGTCTGGTTGTGCCGTAACAATTTAATGTCTCCCAAACCGCGTTCTTTCCATTCGCCGGTTTCCTTATCGAACCTAAACAATTTCGCTCTGTGAAGGTAAAGAACTTCTTCGTCTTCCTCACCTGTTTTAACTTCGATTTTATCAGGCAACGGAATTATCGGTGAAAAGTGAATGTCGTCGCTCTCGACTACCTCTTCTTCGCTATTTTCACCGCCACCGGGAGACTTTGTCGGTGACACACCCCTAAAGTAGAAACCAAACGATTTTCCTGGTGAATCGAACGTGAACGGAGTACCTTTATTCGGTGGTGTGCCTGATCTTTGCGGCATTACAAAAGTGAACTTTGAGGCGTCTGCTTTCGCGTCAGACTTAGAATCGGTAGAGGTATCGGCAGGTTTTTGGAATGTGAACCCAGCATTACTCTTTTTGGTAGCATCCTGTGGAATACCGAAAGTAAATGTTGGAGTAGCTCCGGATGTTGGTGTACCTACTAGGAAACCATCAGTTTTTGGCTTCGGCGGAATGGATGGGCATTTTGGTGTGTCACAGGCGACACAGTAATTATTCCCGCTGCTATTAACGATTTCGCAACATTTGCACTTCCACGAATTAGCAGGCGTTTTGAACATTTCGGAAAGTGGCATTTGATTGGAGGTGGTCGGGGCTGGAGTACTTCCTTTACTAAGTGCGGAAGGATTCGGTGTTTCGCAGGCTATACACTTCGCATCCGATGCTCCGTTTCTTGTATAACAAGCGTTACACTCCCACGAACCTGACGGCGGTTTGAACATTTCGGACAAGGAAGCTTGAGTTTTACTCTTCTGCACGTTTTTAGTCTTCTCCTGTTTCTTCAAACTTTCAGCAGAAACGCAGTCTTTCACCATCTTTTGTTGGTTATTAGTGAGCGTACTATGGAATTGAGATGCTTGAGTAGACGTCTTAAATGTCGCTGCAAACGTTCCTGTTTTATTATCCACTCCATATTGAATAGTCCAACTAACTACTGTGCTGCTACCACTCTTAAATGTAAGTGGCATTTTAGCTGAGACGTTGAAATTATAACAAACTTTCGAACTGTTCTCTTCTATCATTAATAATCGAATTCTACCCGTCTTCGAGTTCCACAAAACCTTCATCTGGCCAGTGCCTCTGTTATCCCATTGTTTATCGTTAACGTAATACTGAAGACTGATTTTGTCCTCGAACAACACTTCTTCGTGTTCGGTTGTCGCGCTAAAATCATCGATGCCTACAACAGCAGTTGCACATACTGGTGGAGCATGCGGTCTTCTGAGCGAAGATTGACTAACGTTCATAGGAACACTTCCGCTCGTAGCTTCCTCCTGAGGTGTAGTTGTTTTTGCAAACGCGAAAGTAGATGTTTGGGAATTTTTTAATGTCGTAGTCGTAGAGCTTTCGGCAGTCGTCATAGTCTTGATAAACATGAAACCAGCAAATGGACTAGCTTCGGGTTTACTAGGAGTCGTGGTAGGTTCAGGCGTAGCCACTTTTTGAATAATTGGCGTCGACGTGAACGAAAATCCACCGACAACCGTTGCCGCTGGATTGGCTTTCGATTTCTCTGACGAAGTTTCTGAAATTGTGGTTGCTTCGGTAGGTTGCTTCTGACTAGTTTGTTCGACAAACTTTACTTCCTTTTTCTGAACATTGTTCACTGGTGAACTGGGCTTGACCGTTGCTTTCCCAGCGATGTTCGTTGATTTGTCCGATAACTGAGCGAGACTAGCTTTAGCTTTCTCGAAGTGTTCTTTGAAGGAAGCACCTTCCTCTACGGTTTTGAATTTAATACAAAACTTTTCCACCTTTAGTTCACCGTCAGCGAAGTCGTGCGCAACCCAAAACCAGGTTTTCTCGTTGTTCGATTTGGCGGTCAACTCCATATCGGGCGACAGGTAATGATTCGCGCATACCTTTAATACCTGTTCTCTGCGCATAAGCAAACGAATCTTTCCTTCCTCGTTTCGGAGCAGTTTCACGTTCCCGATACCGCGTTCCTTCCATTCGTTGCCCACGAAACGGAACAACTTGGCTCTAGCGCAGAACAATGTTTCCTGGCCCTCTTCTCCGGTGGTGACCTTGACCTCTGCGGGCAATGGTATTACAGGAACGAAGTCTGGTATGGGATCGTGTTCGTGATCCGAACTGTTCGGAGAACCAGTCGAGCAAACGTTGGTGTTATCCGTCACTGGTGTTTCGGTTACAGAAATGTTAGCTGGCATGGTTGTGAGAGTGGACGCCAAAGGTGGAAGATTAACTGTCGTCGGTATAGTAGCTTGAGAAGGCATAGGAATTTGATAAGAATGAGGAAAAGGAGGCTGTTCTATCACAGCCGACGTAGAAATGCTACCTAGTCTAAAATGTGGAGGAATCGTAACGCTGAGCGTCGGTTGAACAACCGGTACCGTGGTAGGAAGAGTATCGGATGTGGTGATAACAACGTTAACCGGTGGCACTTTATTCACAGGTGCATCCTTTATAGTTGTCTCTGCTTTCGGCGTGTCCGCCTTTTGAAGTAAAACTTGCAAGGATTGATTCGTTTGTGGCATCGGATCGGGCATCTGCGTTGGCAACCTCGCCGTAAATAGGCTCTGTTGAAGTACGTTCTCCGTAATTTTCGACCTAGCGTTAGGATACAGCATTGGCAACGGATAAACATTCGGAGGATACAGAGAATACGGTTGCGCGTTTGGATTGGCAAATACACCATCGGGATAGTATCCCTGGAACGCGGTAGTCGAAGGATATACCAGTTGAGAATACGGATGTCTGTGCGACGTTGGAAACATGTTTCCAGGTAGCGAGGACGCGGGCTCTACTCGATTCGGATTGTAGTGCAAATCGTTGTAATCTTCTTCGCTCAAGACGCACAAGTCCTCCTCCAAACTGGGGTTAACGTTATCTGGTTGAGTACGTTGCCGTTGCATATCTTTACGTAACATCCCTACTTCTTTCGTTAGCTCCTTTACCTCTTTTGCTAGCTCTTCCACTTTCTCCAGTATATTTTTATTTTGTTCTAGTATCATATTATCTTTGACGTTCATCGTTTGATTGATCGCGCGAATTTGAGCATCGAGACGCTCGGGACTTGGGCGTGCCTCCGAACGATTCTTCAGCAAATCCACGTCGTGATGTTGAGCCCTGTAAGGGGTGCTGTATTGTTTCGGTTTTCGATGAGCGGTCCTCTGCGGCGTGCTGACCATGCTGAACGATGAATTTATTCCTGTAAGTGACGGATATAGCACACCTACTTCCGTGATACTGTGAGCGGAGGAATAACTGTCGCCCGATGTTCCGTCGCTGCATTCGTTCCTGCTCAAATTGCCCCGTGATAAGTCCGGGTCGATTTTTTTCAATTTGTTTTCGATATTGGATATATGCGTTGAAAGTTCGGAGTTCAACGGATGTTTTGGATTCGTCCCCGGGGTGCGCAATCGATCCAACGTTAAATAAAAGCATTCTCTGGCTTTCGAAAGCATAACGATGTGCTGCGATCTGATCTCCGACGTTAAGCTTTCCTTCGGCATGTAACTAACAATTTCATCTGCTAGCATCTCGTATACCTTTCCTTGTTGAAACGAAGCCTCCGGACATTTCAATGCCTGCAGTGCATCGATGGCTTTCTCGTGCTGTTTGTCTCGCACGAATCGCTGAGCCATAAGTAATTTACCTTCTTCCAAAGCTTTAATTAAGTCCGCATAGTTCATTGCCGGTCCTTGATAATTGAAGAACTTTGTATTGGTTACACGAAGAGTTTGATTATTTTGCAGTCTTTCGAGAAGCGGGATCGCATTTAACCAATACATCTCGTAACGTGCCTCCAGACTAGATATATCGCTATTTTCTTGATCTATTTCTTTTAATGCTTCCGCTCTATAATGAAATATTCGTGCCAAATGTACTAGAAGCACAGGATGCAAACCATGATTACCGATACAGCGAACAACTTCCAAACCTCGTTGCAACTCCAACCTTATTTCACCGAGATCCTCGTCCAATGGTTTTTGTTTATCCATGGTGTATACTTTGTAAGCGGAGGACCACCATTTTTCTTGAGCACAAGTGCAAAGAGTGTTGGTGAGGTCCGCCGGCAATGTAGGAAATTTATCAGGATCTAGAAAGCCGCTTAGTTGTTGTTCCTCGATCACTGCCGAAGCGCAGAAAATTGTTGCATTCAAGAATGCATCGATATCGAGACGGCTCAGACTATCGGGAGCTGCTTGATTTAAATTGAAGACGGAAAACTGTAATTCGCTAAACACGTGTGACGTTTGATTTGGACAAGGCCCGTTGTCTTTGTTGTGCGAGTTACGATGCCGAGATCTTAAACCAAGCCAGACCTGATGATGCAACGAATTTGGCCACACTTCCTCTGAGATTTCATCGAATTTTTTTAATTCGTTATACGAACACAAACGTAACGGTGGATTTGTTACTTGCGCATTTGAAAAATATGACGTTGCTTTACGATTTTCATAAGGTTTGCCAAAGATCTTCTGATAATTATGCTCACGCCACGAATTCGTGCAAAACTTATCAATTTTATCCAATAGCTTTTTCTTATTATCCCGAGCGTAATCTCTAAGTACATGACCAGCTTGACTACATCTATACGACCCTTCCCTGTGCCATACGTGGACTAGATTCTTCACTAGTCGATTTTTCAAATGCGTAGTCCATAACGCTGTAGGGTCTATAGGTGTCACGTGTAACGCAGTTAACAACAGAGGAGTGCACAACCGTCCTGCTTCGAACCAACTATCTTCGCGTCTCTTAGTTTTTCGTAAAAATAGACACGCCAAATGAAAATTTAACTGACCCCACATGTGTAATAATACGTTTTTAATAAAATCATGATGAACAGAGATGCTTCTCGATTTAAATTCAGTTAAGCTTTGATCGAAACTGTAATATAAATATTTCAATTCAGTGATGTCGGATACATATAATATATGTGAAATATTAAAGTATTATTTTAATTACATATATTTACTAATGAAATTATTCTTACTTGAATACTGCCTCCATAGCATCCGCTATATTCTTATCTACGTTACCCTGTTCTTTTAAACAAAGTGCTGCATATCTTTCTAACACCGAAATGTAAAATATCCAAAATGTCCAATCCGACTGTTTACTCGGTTTACATTCTACTAGTAATTCGCTTAACGACTGGTACCAATCGATACTATTTCTGTGACTGTGTTTTGCTTCGATTCCGGCAGCGTGATTATACGCATCTTCAAGTCTATGATTCCCTAAGTAGTGCTTCAATAACTTAACTTGTAGATGCACATCTGTTTGTCGTACCATTAATTCAGCTAAAAGAATGATATTAATACGATGAATGAATGCAGCAATGTTCAATGCTGAACAAAGATTTTATTACTTACAGGTAATAAGCTTCTCCAGATCGTCGTTGCTACCATCTGATTTTTCTTGAGTTAACATTTTTTCCTTCAATTCAAAAACTATTGGATGATGTGGAAACTTTTTGTCAGTTCTCTCTACCCAATACTTAATTATATTCACATCCATTTTAACATCCATGTCAGTCAAAAGCTCGCAAACTATTTGATACAACAAAATGTAATGTACATATTGAATTTTTAACTACGAAAATAATTTAATTATAAAATGTGCAGTTATACCTTTTAAAACAAGGTCATCTTGCTTTGGTTCTAATTCGAGAGATATTTTATATTGCATAAAAGCAGCTTCCTTTTGTTTTAAAGCTTCCAGTGCTTGACCTAACAATTTATAAGCTCCTGCGCATTTATCGCGTATCTCCAAATAATTAGAAACATATTTCTTCGCAGACTCGTAATCTCCAACTTGATAGTATAGCTTTGCTATGTTATAACATCGAAGGTTTTTCTATAATAAAAATAAACGATCAAATATGATGTGTAAGTACACCTAAAAATCTTTTTTATAGGATCATGACTGAAAATAAATTGAGATAAGAAAAATAATTACTAAAAATACAGTAATAATATTTGTTTTATCGTTTAAATCACATATTTCTAGGATTCGTGAAAAGTCGTTAAATCAATTCATAGAATTGAATGCACATGTAGGGATGTATAGTTTTCAAAAACGAGTCAAGGTTTAGGAAATGTGTAAACAGTCCGTTAGGACTACACAACGTTTAAATAAAGAAAAAAAAAGAGTCAAGGTCTCGGGTGCTATACGATACACTTGACGTTAACTAAAACCTGTTATATGTTGATATCTGTACAAACTTCGTCAAAAATACGAATAAGGTTGTATCGGAAACGTCAGGGGACGATCGAATGTAACGCAACGATACATATCATCCAGCAATGTTTAGAAGTAACGACATTTTCGTAGAAAAAATAACCTTACCTCCTCCGAGCTTTTAAGCTTAATAAAAATGTCTTTCACGTGTCGGTCGACATCCTTCTTCGATCGAAACATTTTCAAAGACCAGTTCGAAGCTTTCCTCGAGTCTCACGTGTCGGATCACTGTTTAATATTTGACCAAAATGAAATTAGAAACACTATTTTATGGTGTGCACTGCACGATGCTGCCGCACGATAGAACTGGATAGGATAGAACTTCCTCCGTACCACAGCACAAACAAGTCTCTTTCAAACGGTCTCTTCGAAAACAGGGATGCCAACTTACGTGCTGCCCTCTAAATCGTATTTCAAATCGATCGACTGCGCGAAATCTCGCGTAGAAAATGATCTGTCTTCGACAATTTTCGTTTCATTTTCTTGATAAATTAATCTTATTGTTTCGAATTGAAAATATCTCGCAGAAAACTGATGTTGCGCCATCGGGAGCAACCGGTCTGAAGTTATACGCGAAATTCAAAATATAAACACGCGACGCAAGGAGGCAACATTGAACAATTTAATATATAATATTCCACAGATGGTAACCGGTAGGGTCGACTATGTAAAATTGAGTCGTTGTATCGGGTACGAATGTTAATGAATATGTTGTGTTTAATCACTAAATACAACGAATCCCTTGTACGCAAAATACATAATTGCGACTTTGCGAATTTAATCTAGATGTATGGGTGCGCGCACGTTTGTGAAATCGTACAGACACACGCATATGTACATTACACCTCTAGTTTGTTTACAAACAACTCGGCCTGAAATATATAAGTCCACGTACAAAAATAAAATGGATATAAATAAAGTACTATACAATTGTAGTACATTTATTCTAAAATTAACGCAAATAATCATGAAGCTGTTCAGATTGCAACTGCATGATTTAATGCAACTTAGGGACAGGAAATATGTAGATATACTTCATCATAGTGAACATTTTTTAGTAGTATCTAAGCCATACGATATGTACATAAACAGTAATAATCCAGAGAAAAAGGTATGAAAAGATCGCGCTTGTGATTATGAGCAAATGTCTTTTAGACTGATGTACATTTGAATTTTTAGAATACGCTTCAGTCAGAGTTAAAAAAAATCTTACCAAATTTGGCAAATCCAAATTTATTTCATGAATTTCATTTTGTGCATAGATTGGATTATGCGACGAGCGGTGTTATATGTATCGCGTTAAATAAGAAAGCTGCGAGAGCTGCTTCGAGTGCATTCGAAGCACGAACAGCAAAGAAATTTTATTTGGCATTACTCCATGGCCATATTAACGAACCCTACCTTATAATCGACAAAGCTATTGGTTCGTAATTAATTAAATATATTTCAATGAGAGCGTAATTTATCAATAATAATATATTCTTTTGTCAGGAATCGATGTAAGGGAGAAAACGGGAAACCACAAAATGTGTATTAGCGATAATATTTTTTGCGAAAAACCACGGAAATCTTATACAGTACTTGTAGTACTAGAACAAGGTTTAAGAAATGGAAAACCAGCTACCAAAGTTTTATTATGTCCTGGAACTGGTAGACGGCATCAATTGAGGGTGCATTGCTCTCATATAGGTCATACAGTAGTAGGAGATTACACGTACAGCGAAAGAAAAGATGTAGAACCTTATAGGACATTCCTTCATTCCTTCAGGTATCACATTTGTACATTCAATTTACATATTTTACATTAATATTTTCGTATCTCTATATTAATATCGATGTTTATTATTTTTTTTTCAAGATTAATACTAAACAATGATATTGAAAATTTAGATGTAAAAAGTATAGATCCATTTCAAGCCTCCGATCCAAGAAACCAGTGGTCACCAACGAATATTGCTCGCGTTTTAGATGAAAATATATTTTCTGATATTTATGATCTTATGCAATAAAATCATCCTCTCAATTGTTTTAAAAATGCTTTTGTATTGTTTGTTCTATCGCTTTAACTCCAGATCCTTGTACTTCAAATCGGATAGTTATTTCCGGCAAATTTGATGATAATTTGATGCAAGCATATCTTAGAGTATCTATTCTATAGAACAGTATGGAGCTTGTTATCATGCTCGACCATGTCGTTCCTAAAGATGGTCGCTCGCTCAAATTATCATTCAGCACATTATCGTGAACAATTGCTGATACCTGTATATAAACTTCTTGTAAAGTAACAAAGAAAATAAGTTATAAAGAATTGTAATTAACATAGCATTCATTTTACCTGATTGATACAAACTATGCAAACATCGTTTTTACATAATGTATGTAATTGTTGTCCAATTGTTCTTAAGCTCTTTGCCCTATTGTTAGATTCATCCTTCCAATCTTCTACCCTGTATGGAGCAGCAATCGAATCGACAACTATTAATCCTATTTTATATGCAGACATTAATATTGGAATTCTACGAAGTAAACATATTTCAAGTTCATCCTGTAAGAGTAAAGTGTCATATGTGATTTTAGAAACTTTAAAAATTGACTTAAAAATGAAATACAAAATTACAATAGTCGAAACATGTTCCACGAATATCAAGTCACCGTTTATTCCATGTTTCTTAGTGGCTTCTAACGTTTGTATCAATTGTTGTAATCGTCTTGATGGGAAAACAGATTCAGTGCAAATATATACGGCACCTGTATTAATTATTAGATTAAAATATTTAAGAAGCATTTTGCAGAAATTGAAAATTATTTTTGTCATTCTAAAACATAAATTTTAAGGCCTACCAGCAGCAAAGCCACCCTCTCTTACGGGTAGTTGTACAGTTAAACATAATTGCAAAGCTAATTGAGTTTTTCCTGTACTGGATGCTCCATAAATTTGTGTAATCCCGCGCGTAGTGATACCACCTTGAAGCAACGTATCGAATTTCGAACAACCCGTTGTGAGAAATTTTTCACGTTCCCTTGTTATTTTCGCGCTTTCTAATTTTGTAAAAGGATAAGAATGTAGCAATATATTATTTTATTGAAAAAATAAACATCAGAAAACAAGTTTAAAGCAACAAAATGCAAAACACGTGTAGAAGGAAAAAGCTTGTTGTTTACACAAGATACAAGCGTATTTATAATAATACCAAAGTAATCTTCCATTAATTCTATCGTTTTAGACGTATTTGTCGAAACTTTTTATTGTTTGATATCACGTTGATATAGATCTACGAATTGTTCGATACATTCTACAATATGGCAGATACGTTGTTCCTTGGTGGTCATTTTTGGCGGGAAAATAAAATTTGAGAAACACTGCTATATTTCAATTAATAAAGTTATCAAATAGCAGTTATTCGAAATACTAGTTACAAAATATATATGAAAAAAATGTATAGTATGTACAGATTTATGTATACAATTTTGTGTAACATTTCCAGGGACAGATATAAGAGATAGGTTATAACCTAAAAGTAGAAAAATATACTTTAAACTTTATTGACGACAAAGGAAACAATTTTATTTTCTCTTTCAACTACTGGAAGATTGATATAAAAAAATCATATATTTCTTTTATACAATTCCTTTATATGTCATATTTTTTAATATTTCATTGCCGTTTGATGTTTCAGTTATTTTTTCTTTAAAACCTTTTCCTTCCGTTTTTTAATGTGCTTTTTCATTTTAGTCTTCCTTTTTTCAGCTTGCTGTTCTTTCACTGCCTTTTTCCGTGCCTGAAATTAAATCTACTTAGCTGCACCCAAATACACGAAAAAATAGTTGTATTACCTTTTTACTTTCCAGACTCTCGTTTCGAGGCCGGGCCGAATTCACAAATTTTGTCTCATTATCCAAAGCACCTTCTTCTTCGCTATTTTCACCCTCTTCAGAATTATCAGTTTCTTCCGATGAATCGTCTTTTTCTTCTACATCGGAATCTTTAGCGAGAATTTCGGGAGTATCGAGAGGCTTGGACAAGTCTGCTTTTAAACCAACAAGGGTTTTGTATATTAAATCTCCTTTTCCAGATTTAGCAAGATTTATGTCCCGTTCAATGTCAATTACCTAAACACGCTTATATTAAAATGTATACCTGTGAAAATTAATATACACATACAAGTTCACATATCACTCGTTACCCATGTGTACATTCTGCTATTCTTCAACATTACCTGAGTTAGGTTTTGAGGGATGTAAGCTTGCTTGAACACCTGCTCATCTATTTGTTGCTTGGGATCGATTTCTTGTTTGTTTTGTTGCGTCATTTGCTCTGATATCGTATCTAAATAATGATCCATATTCTCTTCAGTTACAGTTGGATCTGTTATAAAATCGAATAATGCCTTGACGGTCATTACACCTACTTCGTTCTTCTTGAAAAATTCTAAAAACATTGTTCGAATCCTTTAATAACAAATCATTAATTCTGCATTATATTTTTTATGACATACATTGACGATGTATGTATTAGAAATTTTCATTTTTACCTACCAGTGATATTTGTACAATCTTTTCTGAGAAACTCAAGCGCCATGGGATGATCGTGTTCAACTGCCTGAGATACATCGATTATTATAATGGATTCGTCGTAATATAACATATTATATTCGCTCAAGTCGGCATGAACAAGTTTACTCTTATTATACAATTTCCACATTATTTCGATACATTCTCTATATAGTTTTCTTGGTTTAGAAGACGTAAGAACGACATCTTTTAGTTTAGGCGATGGCCAGCCATTGCTACCTATAAAATCCATAAGTAATACATGGCTACGTAATAAAATAGGCTTGGGTGCATTTATTCCTCCTTGCTGAAGACGTATCAAGTTTCGAAATTCTTTTTCAGCCCATGTGCGTACCATTTTACGCGGATTGTGGCGACAATATCCATGACGAAAACGAAATTCGCCGGTAACGTATTTGTCCCTGTCCTTGAATTGTAATATCGATGTTTTATAAATTTTTATTGCAAATTCAACTCCTGTCTTTGAGGTTGCATGATAAACATTGGCTTCTTTTCCTGTCGAGATACACCCATTGACCTCTGCGATTATACCTTGATTTAAAAGTTTAAATAATATCATTCTTGTACGAGGATCCAGAACTTGTTCGACTGTTGCTCGATCGTGCTTGTCTTTAGTCCTGATCCTGTCTTTATCGGCACGTTTATCACTTTCAATAAGAAGATTTGCCGCGTGTCCTGGTAGAGATGGACCTTCGTATCGTTCGATATTGATTTTATTCGCATAGCGCCGAAATAATTTATCCGATGGCTGATAATTAGTAATCTTTTTGGAAATATTTTGAGCATTAGTGTTTTGTGCTTGAATATTTTTTACGATATCTTTTGACTTAGTTTTGTTTTGATCCACGTCCCACATGAAACTGCTGTCATCTAAATCGTCATCGTTGTCATCTTCTTCTTCCTCTTCGCTATTTGATATATGTAATTTATTCATATCTTCGGAAAGTTCAGAACGAAATAATGGTTGTCCTTTACCTGCCTTTAATCTGCAATAATATATTACAATCAATGTTTGTATATATTATTAAAGAGAATATAATTAAATAATATACATACGGTATTTCAGTTTCATCAGCATCGCTAAATTGACCTTGTTCACTTTCCTCGGACATTGCGAAAGTTTATTTCTTTATATTTATTTCTCCCGAAATATTAACAATTGTTGAAATATATAATTATTAATCACGTTTCCTGGAAGCTTACACAAAAGTTAGGTTATATCTTTGACAGACAAAGGCGCGTTTCAAATAAAAATATTAATTCCCGAGTATAACTTTTTAACACGATATTGTCAATTTATACATTCTTAGATGATAAATAAATTTAACAAAAATTTTAACAGTTATATTATATGTCAAATAAAATTTTGAATTTACTTTTAGATATTTAAAGAGTCAATAAACTTTCGAAAGAGTCGGTAGTCTCTGATTTTCATTATCCATGATTGAGGTGTGATTATATTATTTTGTTTACATGCATCACCATTTAAATTGTAAAATTACGTTGCAATGACAGAGAGTAAGATATTTATTAGAATTTTTCATCTAGGAACAATTAAATCTTTAACAACAAATAAATAAGATCACGGAAATTTTTAACGTAACATAACTGAACCCTGAAAATTTTATTCGCATTCTTTGTTATATTTAATTACAAAATAAGAAACAGAAAAACTGTAAAAGCATTCTAGTTTCCTTCATTGATTTAAATCGTTAATAACATTAAATACTTGATTTTGTACAATGCAATTTTATTTGAATCTTTTAGTACAAATAATGGAATATTTTTTTTAGATTCTACAGGCTTGTACTTTTTCATGAGAATGTTTGAAAGTATGACTATTTTAATTAAGCTTAATGTCCCTTCACCAAAAGACTGAATATACTGTTTATAATGTCAGTTGAAACTAACTTAATTTAACTTCTTTGATATAAATTGTTTCCTTCCAATTGTTATAAGAACGTAAGAGATTAGTAAGTACCAAAGAAACTTTTAATTGTGAATCTACAAAAGGTAACAATGATATTAATTTATTCTATGTTTCTTCTAGGTAACTACGTAGGATAAAAAATATTTAGAGATGCAAAGTGTAATGCAATCAATAAATGAATGCAATGCCATTCGGTATACATCTTACAGAACTGCAGCAAAAATGCAGATCTTGCATAAAGAACTTAGTAGTAAGATTTATATTACAATACTATCTAATATTACAGCATCGATTAGTATCCGATACTATAATAGTACTTATGTAATATTTTATTTGATAATTTGTAAATTTTATATTCATTGTAGTGCAATACATTCAATTGGAATTAATTGCTGGAGTCTTCGAACGTCATAGACTTTCAATTACAGAAAATTGCGTGAATTTGGATCCAAGCGAAATTGAAGATGTTCTTTCTGATATCTATTTTGCAGCTTGTAAAGAAAATAATATTAATTTTGATATCGAGTCTGCAACAAAACTTGCTGTGAATTACATTCTAACTGCATTCGATAAGTATGTTAGATATTTTGTTATTTAATACACTCTATGCCATACAGTCAGAGAAAACTTTTCATTTGTTACTCTGAAATTTTGAAAGACATAGAATGCATTACATTTACTAATCAAAATTCAAATATCATGTATAGTTTCATTATTATAAATGTAATAAACATTGTAGACAATGCACTCTGAGTGTTTCTGTATTTTCTGTGAAAATTGCTTTAATACTAATGTGCTCTGGAAGATTACAAGAAAAATACGGATATCTCTACCAACAATTAGCTGACCACAATGCGTGCTTATCTAAAGCTAGTTTGCATACATTGTTAACAAATATTTGCAAAATCACAGAAATGCTTGGAGAAAGCGCAGCGTATGGATATCAAAACATTCAATCGCACATCGATAGTTGTTTCTCAAAGGTATAACAAAGTTTGTAAATATGTTTAATTTATAAGTAATTCATAAAATTGATGATAGTCTCAGGGATGTCTTGGAGTTACCGAATCTGAGTTTGCGGCTTGGATTATGCAAGAACCTCCTTTGCTTGTTTGGATAACGACATTTAATCGTATAAAATCTGCGGAACATAGTACGCATTTTATTACATCATAAAATAATTAAAAATTTAACCAAATTTATGAATCTTTTCTTCTTTTTAGTTATACATAATGTTAGATGCTCCTCTTGTAAAGCAACATCCATTCAGGGACCACGGTACACGTGCTTAAAATGTACAGCGTATCATCAATGTCAACAGTGCTTTTTGTATAGTAAAATCTCAGGAAAACACAAGTTGAAGCATCCGGTTCGCGAGTTTTGTACCAAGGTATGTAATTATCTTTCATGTTCCTGTATAAAATATTATACATAATATTTTTTTAGACTTCAAATCGAGAAGTAACGAAGTTAGTTATCGAGTTAATAAGGAACAAATTGAGATTGTGCCCTGCCAGGTCAATTGAAATGAATGTTGAGGATCAAACACCACACATATTCAGGTTATTAAATTTGAGAAAGATAACATAATACAGAGTATATGGAAACGTTTAATCATATGTCTTTAATTCCTACTTAAAATATTTTTTATAGCAATGAAGTACCACACATTGACAACGAATCATTAAGAGGTACGATGAAGAAGCGAGTTCTAAGTGATCCACAGAAGGAATTGCAAAGTATAATTACTCATTTAGAAGAAGAAAATAAACAGTTACAAATCGAATTACTCGACATACAGGGTACTAGAGCGGAAAGACTTCAGCGTCATAGAGCTACTATTGAATCACAATTACAACGCCTAAAATTATTAAAAGTATATTATCGTTCAACCATCTACAGTCTTGCAAATATCTTACTAATTAAACTAAAATATTTGTTGCTTTGTAGAAGTATTTGTTCGCCGATAGAAGCCACACGCCTCAAGTAATGAATCATATGCAGAGTACACCTATGGTCCCACCTTTAACATCGAGACTAGCAGCGTTACCTATAAATTTCGAATTAAGTCCAATTATCCGTCAAGAAACTATCGAACAAATCTCGAATTCGAACAATACGGACGTGCTGCAAACAAATAATTTTAATCCAACCTTATCCGTGGAATGTGTTACCGAAGAAAACCACGATGTTATTTGCGCTGCAGAAGCGTCTACTAGCTCGAGTTTCGGTAACACGCTGGAACCTACTCGTATAGAACTGAGTACATGGATCGGAGGTACATCGTAATTATTAACTTTTATTACTTATCGAATCCAATTCATTCAAAAAGAACAAATCAAATTATTCTAACTGTTTGTAATTAATACCGTAATGTTAATTCGTTAAGATTTTAATTGCTAGGGACACAGAGATCCGAAATAAATCCCACTGATAGTGGTTTTTCTCAGTGGCTGGGCTCTAGCGATTCGGGGTGCAAGAAAGATAACTATTCTATAAAAACTATGACAGCCAGCGCTGAAAACGAATCGCCATTAATAATTTCTGAATCTATCATGGGCATTCAGAGGGATAATACTCCGTCTTCTCTCCAAAGGCCTGATAAACATTCCCAACATAGTAGCTTACAAAACATTCAAGGAGATTTAAATGATATACTAGATAGATTACAAAATATGGTTGCAGACGACTGTTTACTCGATGGTAAGATATTACATTCTAGTGGTACAAATTGTTCTTATCGTAAATAAATATTTTTGTACAAATTATTGTTGCAGATTCTTACGTTGCTAACGATAATTGTAAATTGAAACGTGCTACAACGGAAATGGAAGATTTATTAACGGGACTCATTCAGGGTATGGAGTCTCGTAAAAGTAAGCTTACTACTATTGTGTGACGAATTTCTGAATCACAAACAGCGATTTTTCAATTCCAAAGTAAATATTTACGAAATAAATGTCTCCGTCTGCAAGGTAAATCTCGTTATAGATTAGCGATACCAATGTTAGTAAAAAATACTATGTAATCATGCTAGTAGGCGTAATATGCAATGTTAGCATTAATTTGAGTAGTTTCTCTCATATTTAAACAAAAATAGAGAAGTCACTATATGTAAGTAGCACATTAAAATACGATTTTACAGTTAGCTTAAATATCAGTTCTATGATAATTAAAATTTGTGCGTGCTTAATTTCTCGTTGACAATTTCGTAACGTTAGGATAAATTATTTTTACATCGTTTTAAATGCATATTAAATATATGTAATAGAAAAATATAGATAATAAAACAATATATTAGGTACTATAAAAAAAAGGTTATTTTCTTTCGTTAGAAAAATTAGTGCCTATATGTTTAGAATTTAAATGGAAATAAAAGAAAATGTTTGTATATCTACGAAATAAACACCAAATTGTTGTAACATATAAATACACTTCATCGTTTTGATGAATAGACTAGAATATTGTATCTAATGGTCCATGTGCCAATAGTATAAAATATATATGTTACATAGAACATATAATATGATACTACATATCTTTTTCGTGTAATAATGTATCTGTCAAATAAGTAATTTTAAGTAATCGTGAGATATGTAATTTTTCTGATGGTAAGTTTACCGTCCATGCCATTACACGAACACCACGATTATGCCACTGTTGTACAACACGCCTAAAATAAATATCGTACAAAAAGTATTTCCTCCTTTGCTATACTGAATTTAGTGATACCATAATATGCTATACGTTATTATAAATAATATAAAAATTTGTATACATACTGACTTAACGTGTCCTTATGTAATAGAATAATAGAAACGCCAACAACGTAGTATACAAAATGGTAAAATGCCCATTCATATATATGATCTAATAGACAAGCGGCCATGTATTTGAATATATTATTATATCGTGCTGGCCCTGGACCATCAAAACCTAGATACGAAGCTCTCGAAAAATATTGAGGTCGCCATGCGAGGCATGCCACAATTTTGGGTTCTTTTCTTCTAATCTGCAATAAAAATCATCATTTAACCAAACGAATTACCCGGGAATCTCGGAATTATTTATAATTTTCTCTTTTATTACCATATATACAATGATAGGATTAAAACTGGATACAACTGCTCTTTGGAATAATTTCGGATACTTTTTGTAAGCATCTAAAACTGCTTGCACAACTTCAAATCTTTTGTCTTTTATATCTATAATTATTCTTTGCTCATTTTTCAAACACATTTCTAAAGCATCGTGGAATAATGGAATTTTTTCACCGTCAACAAACTTATCCCTACAACAAATAAAAGAGCACATTTAGATTTTCCTTTTTGTAAGTGTTTTGTAACAAAGGTAACAGTCAATTTACTTGAGAGGATGATTGTGTGTAATATCTAATGTCTGTAATTGATCCCATGTCATATCTCTAATATACCCAGATTTTCCAGTAACCCTGTCTATTGTTGAATCATGAAATACTATGGGTACATTATCTTTTGTTAACCATAAATCAAGTTCAACTCCATTGCAGCCTCTTTCCTTACTCTACAAAATATATAACATAATTAATCGTTGCTCCATTTAGAATTTAGCTTAAAAACAAAAGCAGTATATTTATTTGACATAAAAGCAATAAATCTCTCGTTAGTAACTACTGTATTATAATCAAGAGGAGTATTGAATGTATCCATGGATCACATATTTGTACCATATTCCTCTCAATTCTAGTATCCTTGTTTACATAATTAAAAAAAACATAAGCAATTGTTTCTGTTACAAAGGTACCTAGTATTCCAAACTAACTAATATGAATACATCGTTTTGTTATGTTTTTCTGAAGCAACTTTTAAACACGAAAAAGGACAAAGACCACTATTATATATAAGATTTTACATTACGAAAAGCTGTTAAGCTGTTCTCAGGGAAATCGTATCCTCCACCACGATGAGCCACCACTCGCATGCAAAACTGTTCTCCGTTACCATGTTCCTTGGACACAGTATTATCTTTTGTCAGCAAAAGGGGATCAACACCAAGCACTTCCTGTACAATTTGTACGTTTGGTTGTGGGTTCTTGGCTATTTTTAATCCGACTATGATAATGATAGAACCCCAAACAATCCACGGTACGCAGAAATGATAAAAAACACTTATTAAAATGCTCCAGAGAACTTCTAGAAACATCCACAATAAAGCACTGTTCAAAATTAGTTCGATAAATCCATGCATCTTTTAAGGGGAACTTTTAGTCTTGTTAACGTTTCTCTTTTCACCAAAAAGATGCGAGCAATTGAAACTCTACGCATACAAAGACATTGATTCCAATATTCTCATGCGACACTCCACATTACTTGGGCATGTGATTCTGCACATTTTTGTAGACACTCTTTTTTTATGATTGGTAATCTAGAATTGTGCTTGATAACGTTTGTTTGTGTACAGCAAACATACACTCGACAGAATAACAACTCGATATGTTAACGTCTCTGAAAACATAAAATATACTTTTTAATTATATACAATACAAATTTTAAATTCATATTTGTTACTTATAGAACGATCGCTTTAATTAACGATCGTTAATTACAATTATGTTCTATTAATTGTAACCCGTCCTAAGATGCGGTATGACGATAGACGCAAACAATATTTCGCAGAGTACAGAGTACTTCGTTATTAACCGGCATAAGCAAAGCTTAATTAAAACTTTGCGTTTTCTAACTTACAGGCGTCGTCACAAGTCAAACATCAAATGCAAAATGTCAGTTTCAGTATTGAGTAGGTATATATTAAATAAAAACAGTAAACAGTATTTTCTACGTCAGAAAGAAACACACCCAATGTATACTATCACATAATGGGTGTCACAAAGGTTATCGTACACTAAACAAGTTTTCTACTAGTAGCGCCACCGGTGGAGAAACGCCCAAGTTTGTAGGGGAAATAGTTTCGACAGTTGGTATTAGATGGCGCCAGCAGTACTTTTCAATAAATTAATTCTTTACTTTTTTATAAAAGGATAATTGATACGATTCTTTGCTTTATAACACTGTAATATATTTGTTAAATATGTTATTTAAACATTTTTATAATTAATGCAGCAATAGTATCGACGCTTTAGTTAGTGGCGCCATCTAGTGCCAACTATGAGAACTATTTTCGCTACAAGCTTGGGCGTTTTGCCACCGATGACGCCACTGGCCGGCTCAGTTTCGTATCCACGGTAACAGGTGGGGTGCTATGGCTATTGTGGCTATGAGCGCGAAATCATGAATATATTTGTCCTTATTATTTTTGTATATTGTCTATACTTATGTATTGTCTTTATATATTGTCCTATATCTATCCTTAAATTATGAATATATTTGTAAAATTATGTAGGGGTACTTAAGATACCCCTTTTTAGTCGTACGTATACGTCATTGATGCTGTGTTCGCCGCGCATGCGCATAACCTTCTTGAGATTCACGCGAAGAAAATAGAGGGGATTTATCAGGATTTATGGCAATCCCTGGTGAGCGGTGGCTTTTGTTTCCATCCTATTACTTTCCATATAGATATCAATTGCTATCAATTACGTAAAATTGATATACAGGGATTAATCAAACTGCGAAACTAATTAGGCTTTAACTTAGGGCTCTAAAAGTTTCTCAACGATAACATTTACTTTTCATAAAAAATTTCAAAACAGTCCCCTCGTAATAATTAGCCTCAGAATGCGATTAAGATGAATATCAATATCAATTCTAAGTATCTATAGATACACGGATTAAAAACCAGTGTCAACAAAATTTAAATTCAAAGTTTTGAAACATGGCACATTTGAAACAAAGACAGATAATGGGAGATTCGTTGGACTTTTTGACGAAGTACCATAGTATATCTAATAAATTAAAAAAGTAAGTGTATTTGTTATGCGTTCTCCTTTCTTTTGTAATAATTAATTGTTTTTATGAAAATTTATAAAGATTCCATTGTTAACTTTATTTTAGACGTTTTTTGAGGAAGCCGAATGTTGCCGAAGCGAGCGATCATTTTGGCAAGTCACACGAAAATTCTATGTTTCTCTTGTAAATATATAATCTGCAATATACAAAATAATAGATTGTTTTGTAGGTGCCTTGGCTACTGAATGCGAACAAAAAGAATTATGGCAATATGCAGGCTTATGTTCGTTAGCTGCAGCCAGATGTCAAGGAACATTGGAAAATGTTTTCCCTGAATTAAATTTTTTAATCAAAGCAGGCAGAGAATTTCTCGTCGCGGATAAAAAAGATAAGGATATTGGCTGCCCTTCTATAGGACAAGAAAATACACAGGTCGATTATATTTTCTATTTGAATCCATTGTCAATGACATAAATTGTATGAAATGTTGAAGTTATAATCATTGGTTTAGGCTGCTATAAGTTGTTTCGGTCATGCTTTAGCACGTTGTCAGAATCAACCAGGGTTCAACACTATGTCTGCTGGACTAGCATTAGAACTGGCGTTAGCATTAGATTCTACTCCAGCTGGTATCCAACAATTGCGTAAAGCTATTGATATTTTTCCTACTGCAAAAGCTATTAATACATTGGTATCCTATCATATTAATCAAGGTAAATATTTATTTAAATAACTATAATTAGTTGGAATTACTAATAAAAATCGTATCCCATTAGGTGATTATGTATCCGCTTTACAAATTCTTAACGAGTTTGTCGAATTTATCGAAACTTACATAAACACTGGTGCAAGAGGAAACTACAGTGTTATACTACACAGGTACAGATACAATTAAGAGTTTACAATTATGTTGTAATAAAAAAGTATCGAAATAACGTTATCTACAGGTGTGAAGTGACCAGGGTACTCTTGTTACTTATACTTCAACCATCGCCGCAAAGACTTGCGCCTTCCTTAGCTCAAGTTTTAGAGAAATATGCATGGATAGAAGAAACTGCAAACAACGGCGAGCATTTCTCTATCTTTCGTTTAACAAATTAAATATACTTCAATGAATTAACGAATAATATATTACAGATTTCAACATGAGCGAAAACGAATTATTATTGTTACAATCGTTAGTATTAGCATCTCAATCGCACGATTATCAAGCATTGCTGGAATTGGAAGGTGAATTGTGGCCCTATTTAGACGCTGAACAAAAAGAATTATTGCACAAGTTAATTCAAATTTTAACGGCGCAATGAGCAAACGGAGCTCTATTCTGTATATAAATAATAAAGATATGTCGTTACATTTTACAAAAAAAGATGTTTCTCTATTCGTAAAACATTTATTTCATTCGTCTTCACGTTGCTTAAAGTTACATTTTTATGAGTCAATCCTTGACAAATCATCCGATGAGGTAAGCGGTAACTGTTCGTTTTTTACGTGTGCCATCGTTCCCCCTCCATTCTTACCGCGAAGAACGTAGAAGAAACGTAGGCAGCGGTAGGCAAGTAGAGAGAACTGGGTATCTGTGTGAAAGGAAGAACTTATTGCAGCAGAAAGCAAGGACTCTGAGAGGGTCGAAGTATATGGTGTGCGTGACACCACAACGATACGACGACGGTGTCGTAGAAGAGGGGATGTCTTGCGTTCCACGAATATACTAAACTCTACTTTCCTATACCAGAAGACAACACAGTCGGGACGTAGTCTGTGATTACGCGGCGCATCCTCGGATCCTTCGGTATTGGCTTGTATTCGCTACTCCTAATCCTGCGCTATCGAGGTAACAATACATTGTCTTCAAACTACAATCGTGTCTTATTTAAGGCGAACATTATCAAATATACTGTAACAAAGGAATTCAAACAATTTGCATAATGAAATTTAACGTCAAGTTGACAATGGACACACTCTTCAAAAGGCCTCTGTAATGTCGTATCAAATAAAAATTTCACTCGCAATTTTAATAAAATAATAATTATCGTGAAAACAAAGAAGACACTGGCGTTGCTAATATAATGTATTGTTAATTAAAGATGTACGCGACTCGTAAGAGTAACGAGTTATTTTCTTTTGTCTTTGTATTTCGAGGAGTTTCCTTTAACGCATATATTTTATTCGAGTTCCTACGGTGTAGAGCCAGGCAAAAGTTTCTGTAATGTATCAAAGGTACCTGATCAACTTCGAGTACCGTTAAGTACAGCGGTATAATAGTCGAACGTTCAGTCATCTTTATCTTTGTACAGGGCGTAACAAAAATAATATTTTTCATCGCTTATTTAATACTTAATCCTTTTTTTAAATACTATTACTTTATTCCTCCACGGAACGTGTAAAACATCACGTAAGCTGAAAACGTTATTCGATCGAAATATGTTCAGTTCAAGGTGGTAATTCGATTTTTGGAACTTATTAATCGAATTAATGCGTATTACAAAAATAGTTGCTAATCGCACGTGCCGTAAACGTAATGATTTACCACGTGTTCCAGCGACCTTGAACTCTACACAGTTCGATGCAGGTGAATGTCCCAAGCACCTATGTGTTTCACCTTGCATGGAGAACCATATTTACCCCTCCTTTATTTTAATAATTTTAAAACAATTCATTATCCGTTCGAGAAGGAAAGAAAGGAACTTCAAACATTTAAAAGCGTGCACTTTCATCATCACGCGCGCAAAAGAATTGTGTAACACAGCGTTTTCGTTTTTATAGAAACATGACAGATTGGAAAACCATTTTTGTAACGGGAGGAGCCGGTTACATTGGCAGCCACTGCATCGTCGAACTCTTGGAGAGCGGATACGATGTCGTAGCCATAGATAATTTTGCTAACAGCGTAATCGAGGGTAGCGGCGAATCTGCGGCTCTTAAAAGAGTCGAGCAAATAACAGGGAAGAAAGTTCCTTTCTATAATTGTGATCTCGTCGACCGTGATAAACTCGAAGCTGTGTTTAATAAGGTATTACAAATTATTATAACATAGTCGAACGCTTATTAATTAGTAAAACACTATACTTATGTTAACTAATGTTAATACTATATATTTACTATATATTTACGTTTCAGCACAAAATAGATTGCGTGATTCATTTCGCCGCGATAAAGGCCGTCGGTGAATCGATGCAGGTCCCTCTTCATTATTACAGAAATAATATTATCGGTGCTATCAATTTACTAGAGGTAAACCGCATTTTAACAAGTCTTCAAATTTCTTCATTCTCGCGTTGTCTCGCGTATTATAAAAATAAACAGACTTTACCGTTTCAAGGTAATGAAAGCTGCTGGATGTTTCCAACTAGTTTTTAGCAGTTCTTGTACAGTTTACGGGGAACCGAACGAACTTCCGATCACAGAGGACCACCCGACGGGCAATATCACGAATGTGTACGGTAGAACCAAGTACTTCATCGAGGAAATGCTTAAAGATATATCCAGAGCCGAAAAGGTGCGAGTAACGCTGTAAACGATTTAACAAACATTGAAGATATTCCTTTTTAAAAGTTCTCCAAACAAAACATCTATGTTCGTCTTTTCATTTAACAGAATTGGAACATCATTTCTTTAAGATATTTCAATCCAGTAGGTGCTCATTCTAGCGGCTTAATCGGAGAAGATCCTACGAAGCCTTTTACGAATTTAATGCCTTATATAGCACAAGTAGCCTTAAGGCATAAACCTGAACTCGTTATTTACGGAGGCGATTATCCTACGAAAGACGGTACAGGTGCGTCCGAGCGTTTTAATATAATCTAAAAGGTTACGTTGTTTGTTACTTTAATTGTACAATTGTTTGTGCAACTACAGGATGTTCGTTATTTTCATAGGTGTACGCGATTATATTCACGTTATGGATTTGGCGGCTGGTCACGTGGCAGCGTTAAATGCCTTGCACAAGCGACACTTGAGGCTAAAAATTTACAATTTAGGTACTGGAAAGGGCGTATCTGTACTCGAATTGATCAAAACTTTCGAGACTATAACGGGAACGACGGTACCGTACGTTATCAAAGATAGACGAGAGGGTGACATAGTGTCGATGTACGCTAACACGGATTTAGCGGAAAAAGAGTTAGGATGGAAGACCAAACATAACGTTGAACAAATGTGTAAGTTACGTAATACCTTCATTTTATGTTTAACATATTTCTAATAATATTTTTAATATAGGCGAAGATTTTTGGAGGTGGCAAACAATGAACCCGCATGGTTATCGTGCTGTCATAAAAAATGGTGTTAGCGACCACGTAAATGGGACTTCATAATATTATTTAACTGCCATTGAGGCATGACTAGTTTATAAGAATAATAAAAAAAAAATACAGTACTTCTGAAACAATTGTTATTTTGTATACTTCAATTTTAATTAATCAATTTATTTACATCCATGTTACTGCTGTTTTGAGCCTCTTTTGTTTCTTCTATGACTGTATACAGGGACAAATGTTGAAACTTCAAAACTTCAAGGCCCCAACTTGTCCACTTAGGAAGCAAGTACCTCGCGAATAATTCTAAACACTTTGGTTCATTTGGAAGATACTCTCGCAGAACTTCTAGAATTTTCATATAACTTCTAGAATATTTATTCTACGCAGATTACCGTGAATGGCCCTTACCTGTAAGCGGTGGTTTGTGAGAATGTACAGCACTCGGAACGCTTATCAACAATTTCCTATCGGGAATGTTTATTTCGTTACCGTTTAATACAGATCCCAACACTAGTAATTCGTAAGGTTGTTTACCAAGCGCAGAATTAAAGTTACACGTTGTACTTCCGGCTTCAGTGACCTGAAGTATTAACCAAACTAAATTACATATTTTGTAACCGACATGTAAGTTGTTATACACTTACTTTAACCCAATACCATTTCGCCCTGTACGTAACACCCCACGACGGAAATATATTGTGAAAAATACTGTGCAGATGACTGGGAGCATTAGTACACCAAATTGCTACAAATCCATTCGAACATAATAACTTCCCAATTGGTATCCTGGCTAACTCCTCGTTGTACATCATTTTATAACTGTGTAATAGAAGAACATAAAACACAATTTACATAATATACATACATGGAGCATCATTTACAGAAAGTAATTGTAAGCGATATTATGCAAAAATATAGGATTCTGAGAAAAATTGTTGGAATTACAATTACAAAATGTATAATCACTGTTTTAATATTGTACAACGAGAATTTTTTATGTCGAAAAGTTGCATCTAAAATCTTATTTACCCATATGGTCGCAAAATTGAGAACAAGATAAACGTATACTATTATCAAAGTCCTTATTCTTGTTAAACTGCGGAGAGAGTTTGCTTTTTTTATTGGCTTATACTGAACCATACAACATCACCTAGCTTCTAAATATTTCGTTTTTTTCCTTCTTATGGACTTGTTCCACCAAGGAGGATCCAACAATATAAAATCGTATTGATTGTTCAACTCCAACATTCTGGCAATGCTGTCCACGTCGTAGCAATAAAAGTTACATTTCTTTGGGAATACGTATTTTTCATCTTTTGTTTCCGATATGATAGCAATGTCTGTATCATTGCAACCATAAAAGTGTCCCTCTTCCTCGGTAAACGTGTCCTGATAAAATTTCTGTGATGCCAAACGTGCTGCTTCGTTATTATCAGACGTTATGTTAGCGGAGAATAATCCTTCCGCTTTGGCAGATGAAATTATTCGGTTGAATGCTTGTTTAACGTAATTTATCTATATCATACATACGAGTAAACATTAATTTCGCATGTAATTGATTATTAAACTGTATCTAGTCCACATACCTCTTTTAAATCTTCCTCGGGTAAAAGTTTCGTCCGTTTCCTTTTCTTGCTCTTATTTTGTAATGGAATTCCTTCGTGTCGATCGGATTGAGTTATTTGATTCTGACGTAAATATTGGGAATTTATTTCAAATAACGTTTCGTTAAAAATTAACCTGCACTGCGTGTTACCATTCGTCGCAATGTTATAAATATTGTTAAGATATTGTAAATGAGATACGATCCATCCTTCTTCGGTAGAGAAAATTAAACTCATAATTAACTCAAATAAACCTTAATACACATTTACGATTACGAGAAAGGTGAATACACATTTCGAGCAAACTTTATCCTGTAATCTGTTATAATCGTTGCCATAGCAACGATTAAGTTAAATATGGCGGCCATGTCAGACAGTTGTTAGCTGTTAGGTTAGGATAAGTGATTGTTGTAATTGTTTTACTTAATATTTTAGGAATTAGACGATTAAACGAGAATTTGTCGAACGTGTTAATTATTGTAAAAGTGAAGGAGCACGTATAAAAGCAAAAATGAGGATCGCCGTGGAGGGTTGTGCACACGGTGAATTGGATATTATTTACGAAACTATTCAAGAAATGGAAAAGGCTGATGGAAAGAAAATAGATTTACTTATTTGTTGCGGAGATTTTCAATCTACGAGAAATTTGAGCGATTTAAATTGCATGGCTGTACCTGATAAATATAAGGATATGTGTACTTTTTATAAGTGAGTTACGAATCCTCAATTTGTTTGTGATAGCTAAGTTTAAAATTAATGTTACGATACATCGTAGATATTATTCTGGGGAGAAAGTTGCACCTGTGTTAACAGTATTTATTGGAGGAAATCATGAAGCGTCGAATTATCTTCAAGAACTACCCTATGGTGGATGGGTAGCGCCTAATATTTATTACCTTGGTTACGCCGGTGTAATAACAGTAGGTGGTATCAGAATTGCTGGACTGTCAGGAATTTATAAGGGGCAACACTTGATGCAGGGACATTATGAAAAACCTCCTTATACAGAAAATACAATCAGAAGTGTATATCACATTAGAAACTTAGAAATATTTCGGTTAAAGCAGGTAATTCTATTATTTCATTTTGGTTAATGTAAAACAATAATTAAATGTTTATTTATTTATTATGTTATTTTTATATTTATATTGTATTTTTGTAGCTCACTGGCAACATTGATATTTTCTTATCTCATGATTGGCCGGCAGGAATAACTAAATATGGAAATGAAAATATGTTGTTGAAAGGAAAACCGTTTTTCAAGTAAGTTTACTGTATTTACTTTATGTGTTCGTATTTACGAATGTGCTCACATTTTTATTACAGAAATGACATAGAAAATAATATGCTTGGTAGTCCACCAAGTATGGAACTTTTGGAATATCATTATCCAAGCTATTGGTTTTCTGCACATTTACATTGTAAATTTGCAGCTCTTGTTCCTGAAAAAGAGGGAACAAGAGTAACTAAATTTTTAGCTTTAGATAAATGCCTTCCGAAACGAAAATTTCTTCAAATACTTGAACTAGAACACGATCCGAAATTATCATTGAAACCGCAGTATGATTTAGAGTGGTTAACAATATTGCATTTAACGAACCATTTGTTAAGCGTTAAAAGTGGTATTCATTATATGCCTGGGCAGTATGGTAACAGTAGATGGATATTTACCCCAACTGCAGAGGAAAAAGCAAACATTTTAAAAAGATTCAATCACGAATTAGAAGTTCCCCTAAATTTTATGCAAACTATGAAGCCGTACAATCCTGATGCTTCAGCCTTTTCAAATGATTCACCGAAATTAGTAATAAATAATCAAACTACTCAGTTTTGTAACACGTTGGGTATCGACGATCCATCTGTCTTACTACAAATAATGAGTAATGCAAAAGAATGTAAATCAAATGGATTGTTAATAGAATCATCGTACAAACAAATATCAGCTTCCAATGATATATCTAATTCATTCGAAGAAGACAATGTTTTAAATTCCACATTTGATGGAAGCTTACCTAACGATATATTCAATCGAACATCGCCGTTAAATTTATCCCCTAAGAGTAATAGCGAAGAACAAGATTTAGAAATAAATAGTAGTAAAGAAGCTTTAGATGGAAGTATAAATAGTTTAACATCAGCTGTTAATTTTGATTGTACAGACGACGGTGAGTAACACATTGATTATAATTTACATGTAATGTTATTTTGATTAAGCAATAAAAATGCAATCTTTATATTTCAGGTAATAAACATTTCATACAAATCGAACCGAACTGTAAAAAATTTAAGCGACGGAATTATTCTATATATTCCAATACGCTTTGAATCCAATTTAATATTTTATTCGATAATTAACCTTGGAATGTTTTGATTCCAGTTCAAATATTTTTGAATATAATCGATTTTGGTAAAGTGAATGATAAATGAATTTGTACATAAAAGAGTCATATTATTTCTTTTAGAAAATCATTTTCTATTATGTAAGAAACTATTACAAAATATAGTTGTGTCACCTTTTTTTTTTTTAAATAAATATACCTCGATTCATTGTTCGTTTCTATTCTTATTATAATCTTTCAACTATAAGTATAGTAATTATTTAATTGTGTGGTGTTCATTAAAAACAAAAAAGGAGGTCGACCCTGTGGGGTAATCTCAGATGGTAGATCTGAATTCAGGCCCACTCCTGATAAGACAGCCGTGGAAGGATGGTGTAGATAAAATAACACTTTGCCGTATTCAAGATAAAGCCAACGTGCTATGTTACAAAACTCTTTTTCTCTCTTTACTCCTCTAAACAACGGTCCACACGGTTCTGGACTTCCCGACAGGTCCCGCGCAGAGTTTACTCCCCTCTCACAATCACAAAAGAAAAACGAAGGAGTGGGGGTAGAGGCTTAAGGCGCATCCCCACAACCCTTTAGTTAGTGGCGCCATCGGTTGCAAATTGCCCAAGTTTGTAGTGAAAATAATTCTCACAGTTGCTACTAGATGGCGCCACTAACTAAAGCATCGATGCTATTGCTGCATTTATAATAAAAATGTTTTACAAATATATTATAGTGTTATAAAACAAAGAATCGTATCAATTATCCTTTTATGAAAAAGTAAAGAATTAATTTATTGAAAAGTACTGATACAGCCATCTAGTAGCACCAGTGGGAACTATTTTCACTACAAACTTGGGCGTTTTCCCACCGATGGCGCTACTGGCACTCGTTCACAGAGCGGCTTAGTGAGCGATGGCCTTCCTGCACCCAATGAGCAGTCCAATGAAGCGTTGATCACGTGTCAGGTTCTGTTTAGATCCAGCTTTATTTTCTCACGAAATATACCGCATACATGTATGTAAACATTGTCTATTATAACTCCGCCTACGCAGTATTATCGATCAAAATGCAAATTCTCTTCCTTTTCTTTCTTTCTTAGCCTGTAAATACCCTGTTTACAGGCACTGAAGATGTGGCTCATACGGCTACGATACTCGATAGCCATCTATCGAGAGTGACGAGCACCGCTCCATCGAAGCGTTCTGAAATAATTTCCACAACGGTGACTTGACTTTCAGCATTAAACGATGCTGCGAAACGTAAAGTGAATCGGGTGAAATGTGAACCGTGTAACGAGCAATAGCCTGGCGAACAGTGTACAGATGAAAATCGTGAAACGGCGTACAAAGTCTCGCGAGTGTATGCGTCAACGCTAGATTCATATCGACGAGTGCGGAACGGAGAATGTTGTAGAGGGACTGTAGCGAGTTGAACTTATAATCGTGGGGTCGGTGGTTTGCATTTGACAGATTGTTGCAGCGCGGTTATTTGGCGGTTCTGGACGGGGGTGACGGTTGGTATCAGTCTGGAGGGAGCGAAAGACCGAGCGGGGGACTGTAGTCTGCAGGCTACGGGCTGCGGGCTGCGGGCACAAACACGAACCATCTAGTTCACCAAGCAAAACATGGAGTCCGATTCCCCGCAAAACGTGGAGGACGGAATCGTGGCGACGGTGGAGATATGCCGCGTCTGCCTCCTCGGAAATTTGGTCATGCGAGACTTGTTCCTAGAGAGCGAGGTCGCCTCTCTTTCGGCGAAAGCGATGAGCTTCGCCAATGTTAAGGTTAGACACGTAACTTAGAGGTTAAGTTGAGTATCCCAAACAGAGATGGACAATATAACTATTTAGATAAGAAATGTCGAGTAACTAGTGAAAGATAAACAATGTTTGATCCTTTAATAAAAATAATAATCTGAACTATACAACCGAGACAAGTTTCGCTTTGAACGACTGTTTGTAAGTTTTTATTATCTAATATTCCAATGAAATTTTGTTCACCTCTGATCGTGTAGAATAAAGTTTTATTTACGATATCGAGTCTTTGGTTGAAGAAAAGTAGAAAATGCGTATTTGATGCCTTCTCTGTTTCGTGCCTTAGGTATGTTTACAGAGTTGTTTATTTTGCACACTTTTGGTCGCGTAAAGAAATCAGATTTAAGGAATGATTTGGTTTTCAGATGGTACCAGGGGATGGTCTGCCGACACGTGTGTGCTGCATATGCGCGGATAAACTAGAATCCGCGTATGAGTTTAAATTGCAGGTGGAACAAGCGGATACGGTCCTCAGAGAAAGATTCGTCGCCATGAACATGAAGGAAGAGTTGTTCTTCAATGAGGTCGAGGTACATCTCGAACCAGGGGACCAAGGCGGAGGTATAGGAGAAATGCACATGGAACACGATTATCAGTCTACCGTTGAAAGCCTTGGATCGATGTCGCGGGAAGAGAAATCCCTTCTGAAGGATCAGTTGTCTCTACTGGAAGTAGGAAAGTTAGACGAACGAGAATCGATCACGAGAGGTAAATAAAAGTCTGATCTGAATGATCCGAATAATCTGAACAATTAAATTTGATTCGTTGTATTAAAAGTCATGAATCTTTATGTTTAGAGCAGGAGAATGGTCCGGTGATGGAAGAAGCGATCGATCGAGTGATTGCTTCGAAACAGGGATCGGATGATTGTCCGAGCCGAGAAGGAGAGAACAAATCTATCGACGATACACCTCGGGACGAAGCAACGTCGAAATATACGAGCAACACCCGAAATTGCATCGAGAATATCCCTACGATAGAACACGATTACATACTGCATCACGAATATATATTAGGGGACGAGACCCACCAAGATGATAGAGAAGAACGGGAAGTACAACAACAAGAACAGATTATTTCGGAGGAATCGTTTCCTCGGGAAGAGTGCGCGGAATACGTAAATTTATTGGTGAAAGCTGCTGACGCGACAAATCAGGAAGAAGAAAAGCAAGCAACCGAAGACGAAGTCAAGGTAGAACAGGATTCTGAAAGTCAGAACGAAACGAGAAGAAGCAAGCGTAAATTGGTTCGACGAAACGTTGAATCGCCGCGAGATTCCGACGAAGAGAATTATTTCGAGAATTTGAATCTGAGTTCGCGGTTGAAGAAGGTTCAAGCTCCCGATAAATCGGACAGAGTCTTCTTCATGTGTTACCTTTGTGATAAGGAATTTTTATCGAAGAACGTCTTGAGGGAGCACATGCACTCACACGAGGAGGTCAGGAGGGCGTTGTCGTTACAAGAAACGCCTGTAAAGCCACAGAAGACCATCAGCAGTTCTCCTAAATCGCCTCCGTCCGGGAAACGATTGAACAAATGCCCTCATTGTGGCAAGCAATACATATACATAATCTCGTACACTAAGCACCTAAAGAAACACGAGAGGGAAAAAGATTCGAAGGATGAGTCGATGCCGTTGGAGATTTCGTTTCACGAAGACGAGCACAGTTTGGATTTCGATGATTATCCGGATAAGCATCACTTGGAATCCGAATGTCGAAAGAGAGCTAGAAAAAGCGATGGTGTCAACGGAGCAAAATCGGAGCAGGAGAACGACGAGGATGTAGAAGGGCTGTTAGAGGAGGACGATAACGAGAACGAAGAGGATGCGAAAGAAACCGATGGTGGACGAGAGAAACGCGGCGCTCGCACGGAAACCTTCTCGTGCGACAAGTGTTTGGAAAAATTCTTTACCAGGCGCGGTTTACGGAAGCACGCGATTTTACACGCCACTCTTAAATGCAGCGTGTGCGATGAAGAATTCGATTCGCTGGAGAAACTGAGGAATCATCGAGCGAAGCACGTACTCGAGGGTGTATTAACCGAACAAGATCTGGAAGCAGACGCAGAGGGGACGGAAAACAAAGAAGCAGATGACTTCGAAGGCGAGGATAAGAAGAAGGAAGATGGAAGCCAAACGGAACAGGAGAACGATGAAGTAAAGTCGTTGGGAGCGGAGAGTCCGTCGAAGAAGAATGCCAGGTAACGTCTCGATTAAGATTTTTAAACATTTAGTAAAACGATTTTTTCGATGAATAGTTTTGACAATATCTATCGTCTTATTTAGAAACACGGAGACCAGTTCGGGCGACTATCGTTGCAAGGTGTGTTATCAACGATTCACCAAGAAGGATCTGCTGCAGAGGCACGTGGAACAGCACGTTAAATCCTACAAATGCACGCAATGTAACAAAATTTTCAACAACGAGCTCACGTTGCGAAATCATCTCATAGCTAGCGACCATAAAACTATCATTCAAGGACAAGAGTACGATCCTAACAAACGTATCAAGCGAGTCGCCGCAAAGGCGGCGCAAAAGATTATCGATCAAATAAAAACGGAAGACGGTTTGGAGGATTACGACGAAAAGGAGACTAAAGCGATCAACCGTTCGGTCAACCGTGCCCCTGCCCACGCAGATGGGAATTATGGTCGAGGTAAACGGGAGAGTATTCCTACCGCGAAGAAACTCGTTTACAAGAAAGATCTGGAGTGCGTGAGCTGCAATAAAAAGTGTACTTCGAAGCAGTCGTTGGCGAAACATATGGAACAACACGTGAAGGATGAAAAAACGGCCAAGTCGGAAAAACAAAAACAACCCGCGATGAAGAAGGAACGACAAAGAAACTGTGTCAACGAAACCACTGACGGGAACGATGTCAAGGACGACGATTACGATTCCGACTTCGAGAGTGGCTTGGATTGGCCGATGGATAATCACGAGTGCTCCAAGTGCAAGAAACGCTACAGCACGAAAAAATCATTGCTGCGGCATCAGTTATTGCACGAGGAGCCGAACTTCGAGTGCGACATTTGCAGCGTTAAATTCTACCGCAAGGACAAGCTGAAGGCCCACTACGACAAGTGCTCGGAGAAGAACCCCGATCAGGTGAGAAAATGCAACATCTGCGGGGACAGTTTCGAGAATAACGAGATCCTGCGTGAGCATAGAGCGAAGCACGTTACTGAAGGCATCCTCACCGAGGAGGATCTGAGAGACATCGAGCCACGACCCGAAGAGAAGAAACCAGGCGAGAAAATCGGTAGAAAGAGAAGAACCGATATCGTCGGTCTCGAATGCACGGAGTGCAATAAACAATACACATCGAGGAAGGGGCTCCTGCGTCATATTCAGGTGCACGAAGGGAAAAAGTACCTCTGCGACATATGCCCGAAGAAATTCTACCGGAGGGAACACTTGAAGATACACGTGGCCAAGCATAACATGATCAAACCATACAAGTGTGGACGCTGCTCGAAACGTTTCATTAAAGAGGAACAACTGACCAATCACTTGTCGAAGCATGACCGTACCTTCAAGAAGAGCAAAGAAACAGATAGCTCCAAGAGATTCCTTTGCGAGATTTGCTCGAAGAGCTTCACACAATCGACGACGTTGATAGCCCACCTCAGGGCTCACAATGGTATCAAACCGTACGTCTGCGAAGTCTGTTCGCGGCCGTTCACAACGAACGCGTACCTAAAGATGCACATGAGGACGCATACGCAGGAGCGACCGTACATTTGTCAGTACTGTTCGCGTGCGTTCGCCAGAGCCGACACGCTGGCCAATCACCTGACAAGTCACACCGGTGAAGCCAAGTACCACTGCAAGTACTGTCCCAAAAACTTCCGTCGCCTCAAATCCCTCAAAGAGCACGTCTTCATTCACACGGGTCAGAGGCCCTACGCTTGCCCAACCTGCGACCGACGGTTCAACAATAACGGAAGTCGCTATGCTCACAGCAAGAGGTGCAAGCAGAACTTCGTTCAGAATCAGAATCGTGGCCAACCGTTGACGCAAGTGCAGCCAAGTCAGAATCAACAGAGGGTGTTGCAGCAGGCTGCTCTCGGGCAAGGGCAACTGGTCAAAACCCAAAACATTAAAACAATTACGATCACCAGACAACCAGAGGCCGTTTCCAGTCAACAGGTCTCGCAACATCAGGAAATAATAATGCCCCTGATCTTCCCACTCACAGTCACTGTTGCTGATATCAGCGAGGAGGTCATCTTGCCCGAGGGAGCTAAATTGTACACGACGACTTAACTTCGTCCTCCTTAATCGGTAATCCTTCCCTGCCTGCTAATTGTGCTCGATTCCTCTTGCGGAACCCAGTGTTTCTCTCGATGAACAAAAACGAGGGGGAAAGACAAATGGCGAACTTGAAAAACAATCCGAGATAACGTTTTTAATGTTGTATTATACGTTGTATATCTCTGTTTATATTTAAATACGAGAGAACCCGGTTAAATATATGGGGATGGGGTAAAGTAGCCGCAAAACGGTAAAAATTATGGAGAATGGAAACGGTGTTTTTTCTTCTTTTTCTTTTTTATTTCGCGCGTTCAAATAGTGTTTCTCAAACTGCGGTCTGCGGACTCTGGAAAGTCCCCAAACACGTCTGGCAATTTTATTCGTATCTACTTTTGCGCATTGTTTTAGTAAACAACGTAAGAAGAGTTTTAACGAAAACCACTTCGAATATAATTTTTTTTTAAATAAATACAGTTTACTTAAGAGCAGATTTTAAATGTATTTAAAAAAAAAAAAAAATACTTTACTTGTACTATGTGTGGTTAATCGTACGTTTTTCTTTACCAAGAAGATTCGCGTAAGATTGGAATTTGAGAAACACTGGAATAGGGTATAGCAAGAATAAGGTTTATCGCTCGAATCATACATTACGTCTTCGGACCGCTATTCTTTTTAATCGTTCGAAAAATATCAGCGAGTTCCATCGGTCGCTGAATTGATTTCTCTCGGTTCATCGTGAATTTTCTCACCTCGACCGATGATCTCGCTGAAGAACGTATCGACACGTACATTTGAACAAAGGATAGTACTGGATTTTCATAGGAACTTTCTTTCCATTTCTCTTCCGTGTTCGCTATTTTTCCTCGGGAACGTTAAAGATTTGTAAAATCTTGCGGCGCGATTCTACGATATCCAAACGTGGCGCGTTCGATAGCAGTAATCTCTATTCCGAACTCGTTTCGAAGGCATCGATTCAGTAACATCACAAATCGATATCATTTCTCGAACTAGTATTTAACAAATGGTATAGTTAATTCTTCAAATCGTGATTTGTTTCGGATCCAAAATATATAAAAAAGAAATTAGTAAAAAAAAAAAGAAAACAGGACGAAAATTCGTACACGAACGAATTTTCCGATTTTTAATTATATACGTTGGATAGACCATTATAATTATATCGCGACGTATGAATTTGGTGTACATACAGATTGATTTTTAAGCACGCGAGAATCGTTATCCAAAGATTGTATTATAAATTGCACGGAAAGTGTAAAATAATTTTCTACGAGACATGTCTTTCGGTCGTTAGACTACAATAAAAGAAAAAGAAAAAAAACGAAATATAAAGTTGTAAAAAGCATACTGCATCGATAATGACGCTAGAAACAAATGCATTCCCTATGCGGTACGATACAAGTGCAATGAATAGGAATGCAGATATTTTTGCGATCCGTTACATCTACGCATTTATTCGATCGACTTGTTCCGTTTTTAAGAATCCTCGAAGCATTCTGCGAGTCCTGTTAATTGTTTGTGCGCGTCGTATATGCGATAAGTACACTTAATCATTTGCAAAATGCAAGGAACGATACGAAGAAGCCAGAGGTCTGCCAAATAGCAGCCCATTTGTTATAATGCGGCGTATCAAATAAGTGAGAATTTACTTTCATTAGAAAATGCGGAACGTGTTTTATGATTTCTTTGTACATAGACATAAGTATTGTGAATAAAGCATTCGTAGTATTGACACGTTTTTGGTCTGACTTAGGTAACGATATTGAGTAGGATTTTGTACAATTTCGTTTTAAACAAATTTTCCATTTGATGGTGTAATATTAAGAAATTATTGTTCAACCATCGATTACCCACAGGACGTTTATACCCGACGTGCCTAAATTGACACGACCTAACATCCCGTGATCTCTGGTTTTAACGATGTACAGGAACAACAGAAGCGTATGAAACAAGTTGTTCCTACCCTGCAAATTAAAAGAAATAAGCAATTAAATTTAACGATCAAGTATACGGCAAGAGGAAAGAGATAATGCTATAGACTTCAGAAAAACGTTCTTACCCGTTGTATTTCTTCGTAATCGTTGAGTGTCGAGTCCCCGGAATGTGCTAGACAATAATGAGGAGGATTTATGGATTGGCACACTATTATGGGCCCTTTGCTACGCGGTAGTGACATTCCCGATCTAGCCATGTATCTTGACGTGAAGGGTCGAGCATCTGGCTGATCCAACGGAGCTTCCAACTGCGTGTCCATGTACGTTGATACCAAGTGCATAATTATCTGCAGAAATACGAAATTAAGCGTTGTTCAAAGCCAAAGCGAACAAAAAATATAATTACCGCTGAATCAGTCGGCAAACTAGAATCCCACTCTTTGCTACTGTGAGGTCCTCCGCCGTTCCATTTGAATTCGCTCATAGAACCTCCCGTCGCAAGAACCTTAATTCTGCTGACTAAATATTCTTGATTGTTAGAGAGTTCCAGAAAAGGTACCAAGGTCGGTAGAGTGGGAATAGCGGTGACTAAAAACGGAGCTTGAGCAAGTTTCCGCAATCTGTCCAAACCGACGTGTCCTGGTTGGGAATCGCTCAATCCGTGACGAACCAAAGCAGAACTGACATTATCAATCTCAGCAGCCACTCGTTCAACGACCGTTTTACTGATCCACTGGAATAGAATCTTCTGTTAACTAATATTTTATTTTAACAGACGTTCAACTAATCGTAAATCTAATGATTTCTACTTGCCATACGTAGATTGGCCGTCCACTCGTTTACTTTGTTAGGGTCGATTCTGTATTTTCTCCAAACGTCGGGGCCACCGAACATACCCCTGGGCGAGTTTCCCTCTTCCGTGCCAGGACTGGTTGATTTCGATTTATCTGCAAAAGGAGAACATTGCTTAATTAAACGTTTAATAAACTACGATATATTTATTTGTATTATTCATGTATAAACTTACCGATAATAGGTGCTAATTGGTAGGCGCATCTTCTTAACAATGGAGAGACCTCTCCAGGACTTCTAATCGCGGGATGCGACCAGAACGAGCTAAGTAGATTAGAGGGTTGATCAATGTCAGTGGATAGAACATGCTTTCTTTGCCGACTATCGTCTAAGTAACTTTGTAACTCCTTTTCGCTTTGAATCAACTCTTCACTGGTTAGATTTCCATTTATGGAAGCGTTAAAAGATTTGTTAAGTGATCCATTAGGACTGGTCGTCGATTTCTGAGATGTTGGACTACCGTACTTGAAGAATGGACTAGTCGTTGTAAAACTCTCTTTAAAACAGATTTACATATGATATAAATTTTGTTAACAGTGTAGAAAGGTGAAGAAGAAATCTTTCATACTGGATTCGCTTAATCCTGGAGAACCAAGAGTCATCCGCCTATTGAGACTTATGCATGACAAATTCAGTGGAAATATTGGCTCGGATGACTTCTGAGGTGAGGGAACTTCGTCCTTAAAAGTGGGATCATCCTCTGTTACTCCCAGTAAACGTCTCTGTCTAGGACTCAACGTGACCGAAGGTAAAGTGAGACTTGCCCATGTGTATCTTATTATATGGTAAACAGCATTTAATGCGAATATAGAGGCTAAGCACCACTCGACCCAACAAAATGGCTTATAGGCTGCACCTCCATATATTCTGCAAAATATATATGAAAAATAATATATCCATCATTCATTAGTATCGATAAAGAAACATGAATCCCTTACATATCGAAGACTATGATTCCAAGTAAGGAGCTATTGATGAAAAACCATGTGATACTGTTCCTAGCTTTATTCTGCGTCTGTCTTACGTCCAACATTTGTTCTACCTGAGGTCTGGGGGTTAACACTCTACGAATAAAATTATTTAATGATCATGCAAGATTCAAAAACCGGTTTTATAACCTCTTCTCTCGCATCATTTCGTGAAGTTTATTAATTTACCTTGCATTAGGAGAAATACATCGCATAGGAGATCGAAAGCTACTCATCTTTTACTAGTTTACTCGATCAAGTTCCTTATAAAAATTATACTACGTTGTCGATCGTACCTAAAAAACGAGCAATGTTTGGCGCGTACTCGCCAACCACAAATTCAAACAAATTCGATTTTCAAAATTAAATGGGCACAAACTTTCTGCTACGAATAGATTTTACTATTATGCATAAACAGAGGTTTATTAATTTGTCCTATTCGAGGAAAATACGGAAAACAAACAACAGTATATAAACGCATGCCTTCTTCTTGACAAGCTTCCAACTTCCCGCGCGGTTATGATCAGCCAGATCAGCTGGATCAACTATAATCTAGATAACCAATACGTTAGACATGTCACGTGATCTCTCCGATTTGGGCGGTCGGTATACAAGAGATTTTTCTGCATAGAAATGGTAATATCCATAGATACACGGCTGCCCAATGAAAATGAGATGGCGCTTTCTTCTATTTCTGTATATTATTCGATCGAATGG